TTTTTTTTTTTTTTTTACATGTATTGGTTTTCTGTGATCTCGTGGTTACTTCAGTTCTTATTCGAATAAAGTCTACAGAGTTGGTCAAAATGATCTGCGCTTGAAACTTATGCGCAAAACTCAATCCAAGAAAATTGGTCTTGGCGAAGAACACTCAAGGGTGGAAATACACCATCAATTATCAAAAAATTATCTGCCCTCAACTAGTGGAGATGTAATACATCGTAGGCATGAATTTAGAGGGAGTAATCTTATAAGGCAAACACATTACAGAAAAAGTGCCGATGATCTATACCTAGAACATTCACAAAGGAAAAGTACTGTATCATATGTTGACAGGATGAGAGTTAGATCCCCAGATGGGATCATGAAGAGCTCCATGGGGCTTTCACCTCCTAGATACAATGATGAGTTTAGGAGGATCTCATCTATGAGGGAAGCTGATCGTTCTAGAGATGAATGGTTTTTTAGGAACAGCGTTGCTGATAGTTATAGGTCTGTAGACTCTGCACCTGCGAAAATGAAAGCCACCCTCCCTGTGTCTGGCAAGGCAGTTAAGGATCTCACAGCAATAAGTGGCAGCATGCAGAGAAGTTCCGCAATGGTATGCTTTTTGGCTGTTCAGTTTATCGGTCTAATTTAGTGTGCCAATTCAAGTTATTAAATTTCACAATCTTATAAATTAGCTCATCTTAGACATCAAGTTGCGCCTTTTCTTGCTAAGTCTCGTTAATGATTGTTGTATAGGGAGAGGGTACTCTTTCTGTTGCTGGCTTGTTGAATTCGCTTGGTTTGGGAAAATATGTCATTCATTTTCAGGCAGAAGAAGTAAGTTATCTCAGCTGGTGCGTTATTTTTCAGCATTTTTTAAGGATGCTGAATGTATGTACTTTCCTGAAAATTAAAACCCATTTTAAGATGTAAATTCTTTAGGATACAACCATTGGGCTTTTTTTTTTTTCTTTTTTTTTTTCCATGTGAATGTTATATATGAAGTTCCTTGGGGCTTTGTTGAGGTGTGATGACGATTGCCTATAGACTCTTAAATCTTGTATATAAACCTAGGTTCTTTTTGTAAATTATATCTTGCAGATTGATATGACAGCTTTGAGACAGATGGGAGACAGGGATCTTAAAGAGCTGGGGATACCCATGGTAGTTCCGTTTCCCTGGCCTTCTACGATTGTTCAACTCTAATTGAAATACATTCTTGGCTTGCAGACTTACGTTCATTCCTGTATGGTGTACTTGCCTAATTAGAATTTTAATGAACCATGCTAGTTTAGAAAAAAGTGTCATACCATCAAGTTCAAGTTGACAAAGGTTTAGGCTGCGAGTGATTGACCTTAGGATTGAATCAAATGTCCTGGATTGGAATATTGATTGTTCCACGAGCTTCTTAAGTGTGATAATTTGTAGGGTCTTACCTATGTCGCTAGATTCATACACATAGGCGTTATGAGATATATATATGTTCTTCACCTGTGGCATTCATCATTCATCGAATTATTAGTATTGCTAAAGAAGAATGTATCTTACGGCATGTGTTATATGCAACATCAAATCATTTGATAGAAAGTACTGTATACGTAGTAGTTGCCACTTTGCTAACTAGTCTATTGAATGATTTTACTTGGAACTTCAATATCATACAAACTACTTGTATCCATTTTGGGTGAAGAACTTTGCAAGGCGGCTAAGTTTAACCCTTCTTGGCATCGGTCACTAGGCCTTTTGCAATTATGAGTTTGGTTTTTTTCATTTAGATAAGAGTTGTTATCTTTATTTCGGTCGGACTCTTTTTTGTTTTTGGGCTAGTTTTTTTTGGTAGACCTGGTTTATTATTTCATTCTCTCCATGAAAACGTAGTTTCTTATTAAAGAAAGTTTGTTGTATCCATCGAAGACTTATTTTGAGCCCTGCCCTGTGATTCTTAATTAACAGGGACCAAGGAAAAAGATTCTTCTCGCCATGTTGCCCCGATCTAAGCAGCCGCCGCCACCACTCTCAATGACACGATCATAGGGTTTTGCAGCTCTAATGTCTGTCTTCCAAAATGTGTACGGATGTATTGAACTGAATTACTAAATTTGGTTTTATGCTCGATAACTTGTTCGGTTTATACGTTGAAGCCCTTCTTCTGATGTTGTTTTAGGCGTATGTATAAACAATTTGAGGATAAATTAAGTAGTGAAATCAATTGTGTATAGTGCATAGACCTCTCTGCCTTACCAATGCTGTGCTTAGCATACATGGATAAAACTTTGAACCATTTACTAATTGAGAATGGAGTCGACGGATACCCAATTCATTAGGGTAAACGTGTGTCAGATCTCATTAGATGAGAATTTCATGAGCACAAATGGATGATAAATATTACATTGAACCTCATCACTCCATGATTAACATCGATAAGCTTGAACCTTGAGCTTAGACTTCATGTATTTTGTGCGTTCTCTTACATTCCAGGAAGCAGAACAGGCTACCAAGACGATCATCATTACGCTCCTGATTCTACACATGCTACACATGCTACACATGCTACACATGCTACTTTAGCATTTTGGAAGAAGGGAATTGTGTCTGTCATACCATCAGACTGGCAAGTCAAAAAGGTACTTCGTATATCTTTGCTTGTTAGCATCAATGGCCTACTATCCATGCGTTATCCACATCTGAATAGGAAGAGATCAAGAAGATCAACGAGTTTTAGCGTACGCTTCTGGTGATCTTTCGTGGATGCTTCTACTCTCATCTGGAGAAAGCAGGGGAGGAGGTTTCTAAAACAAAGCAACGTGGGTAGCTGGTGAAGGTCTACTTCTCTCCCACTCTCTCTTAATGTGAACTTGATTTGTATTTATTCTTTCAAAATCTCCAAAAAAGTAATGTTGGACCTTAATGGAATTAGAGAATCAGATTCCTCGACATCAATGATAGAGACCTCTGAGAAAGTCTGTCAATTTCTTTTAAATTGTTTACTTTTACACTTTCCACCCATGCCTTCCATGAAAATCTTTATTGTGAATAAAGCCAAATTTGTTTTGTATTATTTATTGCATAGGGAGAAGAGAGAAGCGTGTGGACTACTGTCTTCGGCTTTCAGCAGAACGAGAAGCTAACAGTTAAAAAGGTACTAACCTTTACCCATTTAATTTAATCTTGCATCATAGTTAAAGTTGAATTTATGGTTAATTGCCCTCTCATGTTTAAGATCGTCGGTTTTGTTGCCGGATTTAGTGGAGATATATGTTGGTTTTAAGATTTGGTTTGAAATTTCATTTTAACTTTATGGTTCTTTACAAGACGAATTTGTTCATTCATTTTAGATATTAGTTAAAATCATCTTTTTCCAAAAAGAAAGAAAAAGACTGTATTTGACTTTTTTTGTTTTTTGAGAGAGACTATTTGACTTTAGTTGATGTGATCTCTTTGGGGTATGTATGTTAGCAGTTAGCTTAGAGGGCTTTATTAGCACACACCACCCATAAAATTCAAACAAGTTTCCTAATTGTTATTTATTTATTTAAAAAGCATGCAAAAATTTGTAATTGAATGCCTTCCATGAATAATTACGTAGGTTCATATAATAATAGAAAATGAAAAAAATAAGAAAAAGGTAATTGAGTAGTACTTAACTTAGCAAACAGCCAAAGAAAAAGTAATTTGCCACTTTGTAAAGCACAAAAGAATGTCTTTTCTAAAGTTGAAAGCATAATTGAGATCTGGAAAATTAAATTAGGGTTAGGAAGGGGGAAGTGTTTTAGAGTAGTGTGGGCAATGTTCTTAATCTTCTCTTTACAGTTTGAATCGACTGTCACTTACTTTTCAATCATGTTCTTAATATCATTGGCAGATTGCATCACTAATATGATAGTTTTCTATGAGTCTTGATTTTGTTTCCAATTAATTTTCATTACCTAGATTGTTCCTCGGAGATGAAAAGGCTTCTAAGCTTCTAGTTAGAATGTTCCTTACTAGATGCATAATTGAAAGTTAGACATATTATATTGAAAACAAGGGGAAGAAAGTTAGTAAGACCTAATCCCTATGTTTAGGTAAAACAACCTTATAAAGGGAATTAATTGCAAAAAAAAAAAAGAAAAGAAAAGAAATAGCTTTTGATAATTATTACTAATTTGCCCTTGGTTGAAACCCCAAAGAAAGGAAGAGGAAGAAGAAGAAAAAGGGGTGGAGTTGGAATGGAAACCACTTTTGGAAAAGAAAGGGAGAGATTGTGGAGGGTAGACCTCACATTTAATATCAACTCACACCCAATTGTTTGCCTCACAGTCTCTTAACAATTAAGGATCCAATAATTGAATAATAAGATTAATTTATGATATCAAAAACCAGTAAAGAAATAATTGAATAATAAGATAATAAAAGAAAAGAAAGGAAGGAGAAATGGAGAATATTAATAAGCTTTTCCACTTTTGAGCATTAAAGTTTGGCGAATTAGAAAAACATTAATTAAGCCTTTACATCTGTTTCCATGCAAAAGAGTCTCATTTATAAATTTATAAATTGCCACGTCATCACTAAACCACCCACGAACATTTTCTCTGTTGTTTCACGGATTTAATTCCAAATATATATATATATATATTGATATATAATATGTTTACCAAATTCTTTTCTTATTCTTTTACATTGTGATTTCCACTACAAAATCAAAGGAAAAAAAAAAAAAAAATGCATTGGCTATGAGTTGAGTGTGATTTTCTCTCCATCCAATCATTTTTGTTTTCTTTTTATAAATTGTATTGCTTTTAAATGCCTAGTCATTTTGGTGATTTTCTTGATATACATCTTAAATTAAAATAATTCTGATTTTACAAAATGTTTTGGTTTAAGATTGGTACCTGTGTAGTAACTCTCTCATTTTTAGTTCATAAACACTTAGTTTTGTATCTATTAATTGTCTAGTAAAATTATATTTGAAATTTCATTTGATCTATTAAAATTTAATTTTATGTGCAATAGAATCATAGGATTGAGCGGTATTGATAGTATATTTATGAATTTTGAAAAAATATATTAAAGAGGTCAATGATAAAAATAAATATGGTACTTGATGAGTACAAAATTAAAATTTCAATTTCTTACTATAATGAAAATCTAAATCAAATTTATACTTTAAGCTCACTTTGGTAGATATTATTCTCTTTAAACTTAGTATTTAAATCTAAACTATGAATTTTGTACAATTGCACTTTTTTTTTTTTTTTTACTAGGGTGTTCGGAAAAAGGGCAAATTTGTCATTTCAAAGCATAAATCTGAAGTTTAACCTAATCAAACTCAAATAATGAAAACAATACAGTCCCAGAAGAGAGTGGTTGACTAAAGGAAAAAAATCAAATTTTTGAAAAAAATTGGAGCAACCAAATAATTTGTAAGATAATTCCAGAAAAGAGAAAATCATATGGTTGAAATTATTCATAAAATGATGTGAACATAAAACGATAAACAAAAATCGGTCTTAAATGCGAGGTTCTTCCATGGCAGACTGATGAAGCAATTAGCCAATGGGGAGGGGACTGCCATTGTTGATCGGGACACGGTTAGATAATCAAAACAATTAGCATATTCTATTTTATCCCAAAACACTCAGATTTTCTTCTTCACTTACGGATTTGCTTACCTTTGCTCTTTCTCGATTCTGCTCATATTCTGAAACCCCAAATTCTCTCTCTTCTCTCTCTCTCTCTCTCTCTCTCTCTCTCTCTCTCTCTCTCCTGTTCATACCTCCACGGACTCGGTCCACTGGACACCGGATTTTCACCACGGACTTCGTTTCACTGCACAAATCATGGAGCTTCAGGAACATTTCATTCAGTCCTTTGATTGACGAGCATAGAAACTACCTTCTTTGTATTGTTAAAAGGGGTTTCTTCCTTTTTCAGAGATTGAAATCTGAATCTCACAACCCAAAAATGGAATTTCAGGAGGGTTTGATGAAGTTCATGATCCATAGACACGTCAAACACAACTGGGTTTTGGAGAAGAATTCTCCACCGGTTGCAGTTTCAGAGATAACCAGTAGTCCTCGACGGAAATGGCGGATCTTCAATCGGTCTTCTTCTTCCCCATTTCCTTCGAAACCTCCCCAATCGAAGGAAATACCTAAAGAATTGCTCTGTCCCATTTCTGGGTCTTTAATGGCGGATCCTGTAATTGTCTCCTCTGGTCACACTTTCGAAGCCGCCTGTGTTCAGGTTTGTAAAGATTTAGGGTTGAAGCCGACTCTGTTAGACGGTTCCAACCCGGATTTCTCCTCTGTTATCCCAAATCTGGCTCTCAAATCCACTATTCTCAATTGGTGTAAGAATTCCTCTTCTGAATCCCCCAAACCCCTCGATTTCTCCTCCGCTGAAAAGCTCGTTCGTCAATTCATGGCGGCCCACACCAAAAGCGATGAGGAATTGATTCAAGGGATTGCAGAGAATCCTGTGGTTCGATTCAACCACGCCGCCACCGAAGTCACTCGTCGGACCTCTCATTTTCACTCGAGCTCCGATGAATCTGTAGGCGCCGCCGTTCAAACTTTGCCTCTTCCTCTCGCGACAAGGCCGAGTTGTTGTTCTTCGTCTTCTTCCTCTGACATCGAGGTAATCAGTGATCTGAACTTGCCCGAGGAAGAAGAGATCATCGCGAAGCTGAAAAGCTCTCAGGTTATTGAGATTGAAGAGGCTGTGACTGCGCTGAGAAAAATCACTAGAACTCGAGAGGATTCTAGGGTTCATCTCTGTTCTCCTCTGATTCTCTCTTCTCTGCGATCTCTCATCGTCTCGAGGTACACTGGCGTTCAGGTGAATTCAGTTGCAGCGCTTGTAAATCTGTCTTTAGAGAATTTGAACAAGGTTAAGATTGTAAGGTCGGGGATTCTCCCCAATTTGATCGATGTTCTGAAAGGGGGTTCACCGGAGGTTCAAGAACATGCCGCCGGCGCCATTTTCAGCTTAGCTCTCGAAGACGACAACAAAACCGCGATCGGCGTTTTGGGTGCTCTGCCGCCATTGATACGGCTGTTGGTATCCGAATCAGAGCAAACACGGCACGACTCGGCTCTTGCTCTTTATCACTTGTCGCACGTTCAGAGCAACCGTTCGAAGCTTGTGAAACTTGGGTCGGTGCCGGTCTTTCTCGGGATGGTGAAATCCGGCCATATGGCCGGCCGTATTTTACTGATATTGTGTAATTTAGCTGCTTGTTTTGAGGGCCGGGCGGCGTTGTTGGACTCCGGTGCAGTGGAGTGCTTGGTGGGGATGTTGAGGGAGAACGAGCTGGACACTGAGTCGACTCGGGAGAGCTGTGTGGCTGTCCTGTTCGGACTGAGTTACGGCGGTTTGAGGTTTAAGGGTCTGGCAAAAACCGCCGGAGCAATGGAGGTGTTCATGGCGGTAGAGAAAAATGGAAGCGAGAGATCAAAAGAAAAGGTGAAGAGAATCATGGAGTATATGAAAGCCAGAGATGAGGAAGCTGAGGATGTGAATTGGGAGGAGCTACTCGACTCGGGTTGTTTCGGCAGCCGTACTCGGTGTCGAATCGGTGCCGGAATGGACAGATCCACCGCGAACTCGTCGGAGTTCTGAACAGAAACCGTTTGAATTTGTAAACTTTTTTTTGATTTGGGTTGTGAATATTATGGAACGAAGCCCTTTTGATTTGATTTGATTTGATTTGATTTAAAACTCTGTTTTTCCACTCCTTCCTCTTCATCCTCTGTTTCTTTTTCTTCCTTTTTCCGGTGAAGATGCCAAAATAAAAGCCTTCTAAAGAAGCAACCTCAAATTTTGTATGGTGAAATTTGTGTATTTGTGTAGTGTGAAATTCATTACAATCTTCAAAACAGAGGAATTCGTTTCTTCCCTTTGATTTCAATGATTGTAGGCACTGTAAGCTCTGTTCAGGTTCATGTCACAGGGGTAGCATCTGCATCTAATCGCTATCCTATCACTTCGACGCCATAGCCATTGTTATGTTCTTGGATCTCAAAGCCTTAATACCCATGGTGTCAAACTTGTTTGGGGTTATCAGCCGTAGTTGAAGATCCTAGAGGAGGAGAAGCCAGCTGAATCAACGGTGGTCAGTGCCACCATTTCCAGCAAATCCTCTGACCACGGTTGGGACTATGTTTATGTTAGTTAAGAGGAGTATTAATTATATTTTAATTCTATTTTCTATGAATATATTTTTAACACATATATGACGAGAAACACTTTTCCGTCCTTGTCCTGCATCTCTAGATATAATACGTCTTGAATCGTTGCTTGTCCTGTGGAGTCGCATGTGCCTCATAAATATCTATTGTCGTCTTATTCCAAACACATTTTAGAAACATTAGATTTTACTTCTTGATTTTAAGTTTCACCAATTGTATTTATCTGTGTGGGATAGAAACCTCTGATCCTTTATTTCAAAAATAGTTTTAAACTTTTACATAAATCCTATTTACTTAAATAAAAAAAAGTTTTAAAAAAATTTAGTATCAATATATGGATGAAAATCATCTATCTACAAAAATCTTAATGTTACTTCAAAAAGTTTATGAGTATTTTTGAAACGTTATATATGATATTTAAGAGTATTAGTTAAACTTTTGCAAATTTAATCTTATTTTTTTAAATAATTTGAAAAGTTTAAGAGTATTTTTTAAATATTATGAATTTTTTTTTAATTATTTTTTTTAGAGGTAGTTATTTTTATTAATTTAGAAATTTTCGGGCTCCCCCAAACCCTATTTATTGTTATTTTTATTAATTTAAAATTCTTCCGCCAACCCCCAAACCCTAACTAAGTTCAGCCCTTCAAACCCTAATTATTCTTCAGCCGCTGCATCCCCCAAACCCTATTTATTCTTCAGCCACCCCTCATTGATATTTCTTTTTCGGCCACTGCTCCTTGCACTGCCGCTCCCAACCGCTCGTCGCTATCCGCTTTCTCCCGCCGAATCGACGCCGCTCCCTTTCACATTCGCTTCTCCCACGCCGCCGTTGATATCGCGCTGCCGCCGCGCGCGTTTTTCAGGTCAGGTTTTGACTTTTTGTCTTCTGTCGTTGGTTCACGTTGGTTTCTTCAATCAGTCCATCTAAATGTAAACATAAATATTACGTGCAACTTGATTGGCGATTAAAAAGAATCGAAAAGCTACTTTAAAAGATTTAAATTATCGCTCTAAGTTTTAGAAGAACGGAAAAATACGTGTTCAAAAATATTTAACTAAACTTGAGTTTGTGTTTGATTGAATGGAGTTTAGTGGGAGGCTTTTGTATAAATTGGTGTAGGTGTACATTTAAAAAACAAAACTCTGTGAAATTAGAAACAATTTTTTATTTTAAAATTCTGCGTAATTCGACTTATTTGGAACGGAAATTTTGTGAAAGAAAACTTACTTGCCTCCCCATCCCAGTTCATCGTTCTTCTTACTGATCGGTATGCATTGCTATTCTGTAGTAAAGTATTTATAATTAAAGATGACGAAGAAGACAGAAAGGAAGGTAAGTGTGTCTGGGAAACCAAAACATTCCCTGGACGCCAACAGAAGTGATGGGAATAAGAATGCGCGTAGCGCTGCCACTGTGCGACGTCTCAAGATGTATAATACAAGGCCAAGGCGTGATCGGAAAGGGAAGGTGTTGAAGCATGAGCTTCAATCAAAGGAGTTACCGGACACGCGGATTCAACCTGATCGCCGCTGGTTTGGTACGTTTCGTTGGGTTATGTGTGCATGTGTCATTTCTTTTTCGTTGGGTTAGGGGCTGTTACTGTGGCCACATTCAATCATTTTTCCAGTTGGTGCCGTGCCTACATTTCTGTCCTTGGTACATTATTTTACGAATTTGTATTATTAATGCTATCGTGTAGTATGTTGATAAGATTTTGATGATGTATATCAACTTGAATTGATAGGTAATACTCGAGTTGTAAATCAGAAAGAGCTTGAATTTTTTCGTGAAGAACTCCAAAAACGGATGTCAAGTAGCTACAATGTGATTTTGAAGGAAAAGAAACTGCCCCTTTCCCTCTTGAATGATCATCAGAAGGTAGAGACCTGTTTTTTATAATTCGTTGATTTGATGTGTTTGTATATTACTTTTCTGTTGTAAATAAGGTTTATATATAGAGCTTCGATGTACTCTGTTGTCAATGTTCTTAGCTGCTGTTTTGCATGTTGTTTTTCTCAAGATTTAGACGAAGAAAGCTTGTCCACTTTCCGTCCGAGCGTTTTTTTTGTTGCTATTTCTTACTTTCCCATTTGGAGCTCACTGATTTGTATAAATGAAGCTTTGAATGTTCTATGACATGCTTGCGTATGCTAATGTGGTACTTTTTATCTCTGAAGCAATCCAGAGTCCATCTTCTCGATACAGAACCATTTCAAGATGCCTTTGGGCCAAAGGGGAAGAGAAAGCGACCAAAGCTTTTGGCTGCTGACTATGAGTCACTACTTAAGAAAGCTGACAAGTCTCATGGTATGAAATATTTTAATCTGTCTCTTGCATTTGCAAATTTTGATAGACAAGTATCAATAACTGTGGTATTCCTTTCAAGTGTTTGTTTATTTTGAACGTTTGTACCTTGCACCTTGTGAAAGAATAGAAAAGAAAACGGATGCTATTCTTTTTATGTGACTAGACATATCTGAAGATGCTGTTCTCAAGCACGTTTTTCTTTTCTTATTGGAATTTTGCTGTTGTCAATCCTTATGTTAAGAGTGCTGTTTATTATATTGCATATTCTTTATTCTGTAGATGACTTTGATGAAAAGTATGCTGAGAATGCTACAAATGAGGGTGGCGAAGAAGATGGTTTTAGAGACCTTGTTCGACATACTATGTTTGAGAAGGGTCAAAGTAAACGTATATGGGGTGAGCTCTACAAAGTAATTGACTCATCAGATGTTGTTGTCCAGGTTCGTTGTAGTAATTAATCTCTTCCTTTGTTGATGATAGTATTCACATGTGATTTTCTTTTCTTATTTATATTTTCCCCATTAGTTTATGAAATGTAAAAGCTAGTATCTTCCCAAATGTTATTTACCTTATTTCTATTTTATTTAGGAAAAAAGTTCTCTTCAAATAGTTTGCACAGCCGCCATTACTACATTTTATGTTTTGGATTTTTTATGGTTTTCCATTTCAAAATTGTGGTTTGTTTTCCCACAACTCAATGCAAGCCTCCATCATTTCTTGTATATCCATCATCTGAGTATTTGTCATTTTCCCAGGTTCTAGATGCAAGAGATCCCCAAGGAACAAGATGTTACCATTTAGAGAGGCATTTGAAAGAGCACTGCAAACATAAACACGTGGTTCTTTTGTTAAATAAGGTTTCACCTTATCTTTGATTTGAAAGAGCACTGAATTTTTTGATAATTTCTATAAGGCTGATTGAGACATGGTAATGAATGGTATTCTCAGTGCGATTTGATTCCTGCTTGGGCAACAAAGGGATGGCTTAGAGTTCTATCAAAAGAATATCCTACTCTAGCATTTCATGCAAGCATCAACAAATCCTTTGGGAAGGTATTGTTATTAAATCGAGGACCCCATCGTACTTCTTAATAATTAATTTCTAGCTAAGAGCCTAAATTGGTTGTTTATAGTAAAATGTATGTCATCCTTATGACCCATCTAGTTGCTCAATGACATCTTTTATGATTGGATCATATTGGTCGGTGAGGAAAATTCCGCAAGGGAATCATTTGATATATTGTCTTTGGCAATATAGGATAAACATCATCTTTAACTTTGTTTCTAAGACTTTTGTTGCTGTTAGGGTTCTCTCCTGTCGGTACTGAGACAATTTGCGCGCTTAAAAAGTGACAAGCAAGCTATCTCCGTGGGATTTGTTGGATATCCCAATGTTGGAAAGTCATCTGTAATTAACACTCTACGGACTAAGAATGTAAGGTTTCATTCTTCCTTGATACCAACAATGTTTCGTATAAATGTGAAAAAAATTGTTGTTTATTTTTTTGTTCATTCATTTGGTATGTCTGAATTGAATTCATAATAAAACTGCAGTAATTATTTTGCGTTCAAAAGGGCCTATATGGTTAAAAGCTTTCAGAAAATCATGGCAAAATCTGGATGGTGTAGTTCTTCATGTGCTGAAATTTATGACAACCTTTCTTATCCAGATCATATCTGTTTTTATTGGATCTATGTTAGGTGTAGCATTTCTTCTAGGAATACTATGAGTCATGTGGCTTGCTTTGTAGAATATTATCTTCTGATAGGTTTTTTATGGTGAATAACACGAGTAATAGACCACCAAATTGATTCGCATGTTTGCCCAATTAGAGACGTACTGAATCTATCTGTAGTGTTGGAGGGAAAACTTCTGGAAATAATCGTTTGAAGGGGGGTAGAGCTAGTAACAAGTCCGACACCGAGTTTGTTTGTTAAGCCGAATTTCAAGTTGCAGTGCAGCCAATTGTTGACTGAGCTAAAAATAATGGGATAACCTATAGAAGACACGTGAATATTAGATTGGATATTGGATGGTGGCAGAATCTGGACTTTTTGCTTGGACTTCCTCTTCATGTCGATGGAAATACTTGGAAAAGAATTAGGAAAAAATATTTATTGTCTCACACTTGATTCTTCTGTTGCTTGTTGTAGTGATACTAAAGTGAGCCCCTTACATTCGATTCTTATGGCACTATAATCAATCTCTTGTGGTTCTTTTTTTAAAATAAATTCACCCTTTTTATTAGGTTTGCAAAGTCGCACCTATTCCAGGGGAAACTAAAGTGTGGCAATATATTACCCTCACAAAGAGGATTTTTCTGATTGATTGCCCAGGAGTCGTTTATCAAAACAGTGACACTGAAACAGATGTTGTGC